TCTAATAATCTAATATTTTAATAACTTAATTTTTGTCTAATATTCTGTCAAAGATTTGTAAAAAGTTAGATTATTGAAAAATTAGATATATCAGAAATTAAATTATTAGAATTTTAGATTTTAGAAAGTTAAATTATTAAAAAGTTAAATTATCAGAATATTAGAATTTTGAAAAGATAACTATTAAAATATTAGAATAAATTCAAATACAAATTATAATAGATTTTATTTATATTATTTTTTGTGATATATAGTATAATAAATTTTCTAATATAATAATACAGTAATATTTTATTACAATCTTATTAATATTAATATTTCTTTATTAATAATATTAATTATAGAATAAAATTTTTATTATATAAATTCTTTTATAAATATTAATTTTTATATGAATCTCCTGTTAATATTATATTAATTTAATTTAGATTTCCTTATATAATAATAAGATTTTGCTAATATCAATTTTACATAATTAATTTTTTTTAAAATAATAATAATGATAATAAAAATTCTATTTAATAATTTTTTAAATAATAATAATTTTGGAGTTAATATTTATATATTATACTATAAAATATTATTATTTTTAGTAATATAATAGCTACTTATATATTATTTGAATTATACTTTTTATAATTTTTAAAAGTCAAGATAATAATTACTAATATTTAAAACAAAAATTAGCAATTACAGAAAATTTTTAACAAGAATTAATAATAATAATAATACTTTTTAATATTCAAATCATGTTTCTTTAATGCTCAAATCATATTAAATATTTTTATATAGATAATAATAATGATATATATAATAATAGTTAATAAATAAACTATAATAATTAAGAATAAATAATAATAATATAATAGTAATATGAATAAAAGTACAAAATAATTATGAAAAAAAGATAAATATACTTAATTTTAAAGTTAAAATAAGAAATATGTCAATAAAAATAGGCTAATTCAATTTTTATTATCAAAATTTTTGTTATATAATATAACTATGATAAGATTATAATTTTGAAAATTTTAAAAATAAAAAAATATTAATTATCTATATAACTAATTGAATCTGGAATAATAAAAATAATTAATTAACTAGCAAAATTTATAAAATTAGAAATTACTTTAAATATCTGATTATAATAAATACTTTTATAAAATATAATCTTGACAAATAAACTTTTACAACTTCAAATAAAGAAATTTATAATTTATTAGCTATTTCTAAGAATAATTTTAAAATAAATAATAATTAACTTGACAAATTCAAGAAATGATATAATATTTGATAATTTAAAATTCATGATAAATTAAAAAATATACTAATCAAGAAATTTTCTAAGCAAAAACAAAAATTGGTCAAATTATTCTTATAATACAAATCAAAAAATATTTATAATACTGATAAAACTAGTTTTTTTTCAAATAATATCTAATTAGATACTTTTAATCAAGTTTATCAAAAGAAAAAAGAAAGACAAGAACTAAATAATTATTTTACTTTATATAAACATAACTAAAACAGATAAATTAAAATTATTAATCATTAGAAAGTCAATAAAATCCTAGTATTTCAAGCATATTTCAAAGGTAAATCTGAGTAATAAATATAAAAGCAATAAGAAAATATAGATAAAAGCTGAGATTTTTAAATATTAAGTAAAATCTCTAAATATTATTTTCTAAATCAAATATAAAAATATTTTGTTCTTAATTAATAATACTTTCTCTTATATAATTAAAAAGAAATTAAAGGATATTAAAATCTATTTTTTGTCATTCTATATAATAGCTTATTTATAATTATACAATTCTAAAATAATCAATTTATTCAATGCTTACTATTAAAAATTATATCTTTAATATATTTTGAAAATTATCAATACTAGAGATGAAATATTATATTTTAATATTATAGTATTTAATAAAAGTTTCTCCACATCTGTAATTTTCAGAAGATTATATGTAGATATATGAAATTTCATATGAATATAGTATATTATATATGCTGATCATATTAAACTTCTTTGAATAGAGTATATAGCAAAAATACTCATATTGCTTATAAAATAATTTTTTCAGTCAAAAAAATATCTCTTTCTTTATATAAATAATATAAAATCATTTTTTTAGTCATCTATCTGAAAGATTTCAAGTTTTTAATATATGAGATGACAAAGCAGATTTGCTATAATAAAAAAATAGTCTGAGAATGGATAAAAAGATGGCAAAAAAATAAAGATCTAAGTGATAAATCAAGATTAAATTATTAAAGAGTCACTATTAAAAGATAAGACAAATAGATTTTGGAGCTGACAAAAGAGAATATAAATATTACTGCTCCAGAAATTCACCATAAATTTCTAAAGTAGAATATAAACATTTATATATACACTATTTAATAATATCTTGATAAAGATGAAACTTATTATTATAGAAAACTCATAAAGTCTTTGCTTGGAGCAAAGTATTAAAAAATATCTCTTATAGATAAAAGAATATAAGAATTTTTTTTTTTTTCCCAAAAAGGGAGGGTGAAGCAAGAACCCATTTATTGAATAAATGCGTGATATGGGAATATAAGAATTTCAACTGGAATTCTGTGATATTTACTGATAAAAGTACTTTTTACTTAAATCAATAACTAAAGAAGACTTGGCAGTTCATTAGAACAAGAAAAATAATCCATTTTATCAAGTATCCATTGAAGATTTATGTATGGAGCTGTTTTTCTTTTTTAGACTTTGGAAGATTAATATACTTCACACATAATTTTAACATATAATATATGATTATGCTATATAAAATAACTCTTCTATCTTCTGCTGAGAATCTTTTTGGTAAAGATTATGATAGTTAGATTCTACAGGAAGAGAATGACTCAAAATACTATTTAAAAATTGCAAAGATATAGAAAGAAGAAAATGATATCAAAGTTCTCTTCTGGCTATTAATATTATCTAATAAAATCTGAGTGAAAATATCTGGAGGCTTATGAAAATGAACCTGGCAAAAAAAATTAGAATACTTAGGGATTTAAAGAGTGAAATAACATGAGAATGGAATTGATTACCTAAGAAATATACAGTTAATTTGATAAAGAGTATAGAACATTATATAGAGACTCTAATTGAAGCTGAGGACAATTATACTATGCATTAATTTTCATGTAATATCATGTGTTTTCAAATAAAAAAAACTTTTTTTCTTACTATATCTCTGTATCAAGTTAGAGATACAGGAAAACTTTTGTCAAGCACTGTAAGAAAGTGATCAATTTTATCATTAAAGCATAAAAAAATATAACTTCTCAAATAATTATTAATTATTAATATAAAATAGAAATTATATCAATAAATAAATGGAGTTGGCTAAATTTGAATATGCATAGTAAAGATAATGTGAGACCAGAACCAGATATTAAAGAACTGATTTCAAATATCTCTTTAAATAGTTCAGTATTAATGGCTAAAGATTATATTCATGTTAATGATAGTTTGGAAATCAAAGAAGTTAGCATAGATAAGATAATCATTATCAAATAAATTAGATCCTGAAGATAGTGATGATGACTGCAATATCGAAGTTGAGAAAATTCTTATTCTACTATCTTGGAGAAATGTAATTTGCTTTTGTAATATGTTGAGCAACAAGATCCGAATTTTATAGAGGAGTTGAATTTACCAAGATTACAAAGTTTGTTATGATGTATTCAGGCAAAGATGTTGAAAAAAGATAGTAAAAAAGATTAACAGAATTTTTTTAGTATTTTACTGCCAAGATCAGGTAAATATAAACAGTTTGGAGAGAGATAGAAAACCATTTTGGAAGTGTAATGAAAAATAATCCATGAGCGAGATAGATATCCATTTTCAAAGTGTGATAGAACATGATAATGTAATTAAGACCTATTTGGAATTAGATAGAGGTAATAGTAGTCCGTTTTGAAATAATAATGTGGTAAAAACGCATGTATTGATGTTTATTTTGTAATAAATGAAAAATTGTTTTAAGCAGCTTAAATTATGTACTAACCAACCTAACCCTAACCCTAACCCTCGGAATTATCAACCCCCACATATATCAACAAAAATGCTCAGTTCCGTGAGATTGATAATAACGGGGTGCCACTGTAGTAAAAAAGGCAGTGGCAATGAAAAGTAAACAATAATAATAACAAAAAGATTTGTTAAAAATTTCACTAAGTTCAAAATTTTGTATCAATACAGGCCAGGTGTCTGCATACTAATACATATTTAATTTTTAAACAAATTCCAGATATATATTGATCATGTTACAGGTTATTACAGATTACAGGGATATCATATTACAGGTTTTTCCGTACAAGATACAGGTGTTTGCATATATATTTAATTCAATCAAATTCCCAGATATATATTAATTATATTACAGGTTTATACAGGTTATTACAGATTACAGGGATATCGTATTACAGGTTTTTCCGTACATGTACATAATATTACAAATTGCAGGTGATTGCATATTGTTATACAGAGATTGATTGATAAAATTTTCTCATAGCGATAGGGTTATACAGTAATTATATAGCGAATCGAAGCGAGAAAACGGTTTCTTATCACTCAATTTTTAAATTGTAAAACACGTTATTACTAGTTTATAAACTCATCCACAAAAAGCGGGACCTTGTAAATTACATTGTGAAAACACATACGGGTTATATGATATTTACTATTTTCGGATTCCTTTTACTAGTTTTAGATTCTTAGAAACACTCCATGGCGTAAAACACACTATGAGTTTTCCTTATCATTACTTATTTTTGATATTTTTACAAAATCTAGCTTTTTTAGAACCACAATATGGCAAGAAATACACTTCATAAAAACGAAATGTAATAGAAAGCACGACATGACAAGTATACTCTATGATTTTCCCTACCTTATTAAATTACATATAAAAGTAGCTTTTATTCTCACCAATTCGTTCAAAATTATCAATAAGGGTAAAATCTCAATGTCAAAAGAAAAAGAAACGAATAAACTTGCGGCCGAAACAATTCTTCGAATTGTGTTTGTACTATTGATGACAAGCATAATCATCTTTTTGGCAATTCCGAACATCAAAAAAATAGTACAACATCAAGATCCATTAGTCGTAATAAATATCGAGAACAAGACCACTGAAGGAATTCCAATGCCAAATGCGTTTGTATGTGGAGTGTTCAATAACCTCATCAACTACGTCGACTACATCACCGTAGAGAAAATTCCATTAGGTAAAAAAGCGATAATGGTTGACGAAAAGTATATATGGAAAAATTACACAGCGATACTTAAAGCTGGTGGTGATTTAACAGAAGGCAGTGAAGAAGCCCCATGTTTTATTTTTCAACCTGATGGAGCGCTTAAATTTAAGTTGACAAACGATAATGATTCCATTGATTATATTTCAATTAACGTATGGTCTAAAACAGCAAATGTTACTAATACCACGGCAGATTTGGGGGTACTATTTGGATTTTGGAATGCTGAGCGCGATATTAGTGTTATAAAACCATTCGTCGCCCGTACTGCAACAATCAACCATTTTACGTTTACATCGATAATTCGAAATGGAATAAATAACGATATGCATCAGGATTTCACAATTAATATACAAAATACGCTTCAAATTGGAAGTTTTTATGTTAATCGCACACTTTATGGTGATGATTCGATAATCGCAAAAATTAATTATTCTCCGGATTCGTATATGGTAAATAAGATTCGTTACTTGTTTATTAAATTATTATCTAATATCGATATATTGGTATAATTAGGTGACCAAGTATACAGAAAGACAGCCATACGGGTGGCTGGATTTGGTTGGTACTATCGGAGGTATTCTTACATACGCAATCGGAGTTTGGGTATTTTTATTCGGACGAGGAAAATATAGGTCTTGGGGTTTATTCAACGTTTTCTATTAAGAAACTCTCCAAACGCAAAAAAGCATCCATTAATGGAAAAAGAAGAATTCAATGAAGTATTTACCGAGCCAAGTTTATTACCGTCTCCTACTCGCCCATCCTTGAACAGACC